CCATCACCTTTTGTGGATTACAGAAGAAATACGAATTTCTAACAACATAACAACATAAATCTTTACAAAAAAAAAAACAAGTGGCTCTATTATGACTCACCAGCATTGAGAGGCACACTGAGGACGACGCCCAGAGAAATCAGAGTAGGAAGTTTTATCAGAACACCAAAATTCAAGAGGAAGTTGAACACTAAAAGAGCATCCAAAGAAAACAATTTGAAGTTAAAATGTCTTAATGATGGATTTGTTTATTAAAAACACACAGTTTTTCATTTCAGGAGATTTTAATTGATGTACTGAAGTCGTATGGATTACTTGTTGATTATTGTGATATTACATCAGCTGCTTGAACTCTTATTCTGATGGCACATATTCCATTTGTGTACATAAGCACAGTTTGTGTTTATGTATTGGCGTCCATTCTCTTACCCAGCAGAAGAGCGGACATGCCACAGATACTTGGCCATGGCAAATCTCTAGGTGAAACAAAGTCCTCGGCCCCCGTGATAAGCAGCATCAGAGGTACAGCGCTAATGAAGACCAAATTAGCTCCACCGAGAACAGTAAGATACACAGCTGCTTCACCCAGCTTTGCACTACCCAGAACAAGCTTGAACAGAACCTGAAGAAACATTTACACTTATGGATTTCTCTACAGACGAAGAGAGGATAAAATAATTAAACGTTCATTTGAAACATCTCTGAAATAGCAGCTCATTGGTGTATGATGTGTTTGTTGTGCTTTACAATCCCGTCTTACTTTGTATATAGCTGCTGTTGATGCAGAACCAACCACAAGGGAGATGCCTATCACAGAATAGCTGTGGAAACCATCGGCATATGTCAACATAACAATGCCCCCAATGGCTAAAATGGCTGCCACAATCTGTGATTAGATAGAACAAAGTACATTATGATAAAAAGTTAATCGCAACTAAGCATAATTAAAGCTTTTTATAGATCAATTTATATATCATAGACTCACCCGCACTCCCATAAAGCGATCCCGCAGGACAATCCAGGATATTAGGAAGACAAAGGCACGACTACAGCAGAAAAGGGCACAGGCATCAGTGGCAGGGATTCTGCGAAGGCCTTGCAGGTACAGGTAGCTGGTGAGAGTCCACAGCACTCCAAAAGGAGCCACGCGAGAGAGCAGCATCCTCAGTGACAGCACGTCATCTCCCAAGAACTGACAACACTCTCTGTCGTGAATCCACACACATGCAAATAATGTATCACACCATAATTTATCATATCGGCATTTCCAATACACATTTATGTAACAGTGTGTGCCAAATGTTTGGACACACCTGAATGACTGGAAGATTCTATTGATCTTAAAGATGTTTGAGCTAAAGTCTAGTTCTTAATTTTCTAATTAATTAAATAGTCTATTGCAAATTATTTTGTAGATGCATATCTATCTATGCATTTCTCTACAGTATAAAAATACATGTATTTAGATTTTTTTTTTAAGACCGTAAAGTGAAAAAAAAAAAAAATCCAACAAGTGTCTAACACAACCATTTTAACAAAGGTTTAGGGTCAGTAAGATTTTTGAAGAAAAAAAAAGATTTTTCATTTAAAAAAAAAAAAAATAAAACATTTATACAGCAAGGACGCAATTAACTGATCTAAACTGAGAGTATAGATATTTACAGTATAAAGTTACAAAAGTTACAAAAACTTTTTTATTCATCAAAGAATCTGTATAATATCAGTATAATATTTGAATTATTTCTGTGATCATGTGACACTGAAGACTGGAGTAATGGCTGCTGAAAAACTTTGCCATCACAGGTATAAATTACATTTTCAAATATATTAAAACATTTTATCAATAAATGCCTACATTAAAATGGCAAGATATATATTAAAAAAAAT